AGAAGACTTACAAAATTTCCTGTGCAAATAATATCTGGACAAATCAAATCTATAGATGACTTGCAAGTCCAAGGACATTTTAACCTGAAACAGAAAGCTATGGAAGGTTGTTGATGTGACAGTTGCTGTAAGGGATAAGTACTGTCTTTTAATTTTATGTAAGTTTTTGCAGCAAGTTTTGTTGTTTGGTACTCAGGAGAAAATGTGTAATTTGGGGGTGCAGATAGGAAAAATATCAGGAGTTCTTACAAACCCTGGTATTTCTGTAGCAACTGTTTGAGGTTAGACTCGTTATCTTTTTCCTTCTATCCTATCATTTCTTCAGAGTTTTATGCCAAGTATCAATTTTGCTGCTGAATAGTAATAAGAGTCCCTCCTAGGAGGGATTCACACGTATTTATACATATCTTGACTACTTGGTTTGATACTGAGAAGTAAACAAGAATAAAGTGATTGTCTGCCCGTCCATGAGTAGGAGCAGGCACTGCTCAGGTGTTCGGATAGGTAATTAGGTGCTTGTATCTTTGCAATTGGAAGTTTGGATGCTGAATAGTGATTGGAGATTCAGCATAGTGATAGCACTTGGAGATTGACTGATATAATCCTCCCTTCAACATGCAAGGGTTGCTGTTATTCCCTATTGCTTACGCAAACTCAGTGTTGTTGTGGGAATTATGAAGTAAAAAGATACGAGTTAGTGATCTGCCCCAGAATGGCCTTCATCTCTAACTACGCTTAGTGGTTTCCCAGTATGATTTTAGGGAGAGAAACCCTCTTTAGGAAGTTTTCAGTGTTTCTGGCACAATGCTCAGAATACTCTGACTACCAGATCCCCGTCTCTACAGCTGTATCCACCTGTAAACCTGAGTCTCTGATACAGTGTAAACCCTTGGAGATCCAAAAGGTTGTTCATCTCTGTAGTCTTCTCAGTACCAGAGTGCAACATGTCTGGTGCAGTGCTGGAGATCATGGATGTAAATAATTGGATGTTGCATGTTTTTATATCTGTGGTCTGATGACCCAAGTCCTTAGACATAAATCACAAAGCAAGCTAACATTCAAAGTCTGATGTAGATACTGCAGAAGATATGCTAATATTGTTCTCTCTGTCACTGGAGTAATGTGGGCTGAAGGCAGCAGTACTGATGAGAGACTGCACAAAATATATGTAAAGAGCTGTCATTTAATTGTCTAACTTTAGATTCCAAAACCAGTAGTCTTCAAATTCATATCTTAATTTTAATGTGGTGGCTATGAAAATATTTTATAGGGGTTTTCCTGCTCCCTCTTACACGTTTGAGAAAGTTACTGTACTTCTAGAAAATCCTGACCCATTTACTGTCTGGCTCCCATTTTCTAAATAGGAAAAGATCAGCAATATGTGAAGTGCTGTCAAAATATAAATAATTTTCCAGCTGATATGGACCCTGCTCTGTTCTTTCGATGAAAACATAAGTAAATCCCCATATGTTAAGAGGAAAATATTTCTACTTCAAAAGGAATGGAACAAGCTTCATGTTCCTGGTTTACTAACTTGAGTGCATACTTAAATTCATACGCATACATTTGACTAGAGTTTGTGCTATGTGTCTCTTGCCCGACAGTGCGTGAGCCAGCAAGGATAGCGCACTACTGCAGCCGGTGTGCGGAGTGGCACCTGTGTCTAACTCGCAGTCTGAAGAAAAGTTTTGCAAAATTGCTTTCAGAGATTTGGCTTCCAAACTGGTCAGATTACTGTTGAGATCTCTAGGACTTCTTGGAAACCTTTTGTTTGTTAAGGAGAACATTTATTAAGAACTTCTACATGGGTGGATTCAGATGACTGGAACATCAAAACCCTTAGGCCTTTCACACCAAATGACGAAATAATGCTTCCCCCTTGGGGTTCATTTTTAACTTCATGTGCTTGCTTTCAGAAGGAGTTATGGAGCTGAGATTTCCTTTATCTACAGTCTAACTGGGAGAAAGAACTAGTTCTTTCTGTCAAGCAAATGATATGAAGATCTATGTTATGAGGGTGTGATTCCGGTCAGAATAATAACCTTTTGCTTTAAAAGTATAACCAAGTGTATACTTGTCGAAAACAAGTCATTAACAACAACTTCTGCTAGGGCCATTGGGAACTAGTCCAGCTTCCTGGGAAGGACTGATGGGGTTTTTCTTCTTTTGTTAACTGGGAGAGGTTTCCCATCTTCCTTACCACATCCAGGCAACATGTTCGGACCTGCTTTAGAAACTTGGGCCAGACTTGAAAAGGCGTCAGCTAGAGGCATATTATAAGGTGGGCTTACCTCGCCAGGTCTGTATATAATTGCTGAGGTGAATCACCTTTGTTCATCGTTAATGTAAGAAACAGATTTCTTTCCTTTTCACTTCTAGTGAAAGCAATAGACACCAAGCCTTACAATACGTTCCTAGTAAATCAGATGGATGGTAGGAGGTCCAAATTCATATTTTGATTTAAAAATAGATATATTTTTAGCCATTGCAATTTTGTCATCATGCTGATTATCTTAATTTTCACATAGAGATTTTCTTGCATTATTGAGTCTTTGAGGAAGAACACTGATAGTAGCAATGAATAATATTGTGCATTCTAGATGATGTTTTAAAAAAAAAAAGTAGATTTTGCTGAGAACAGTAGAGGTGGAATAGAGCTTCTGGAATTCAAGCATATACTGGAAATAGAGAATCTGTATTTTAAAGTAGTCAGTAGAATCAAACTTCTATCGAAACTAATAAATGCTGGACATATTGAAGAGAGACGTTCAGTCTTTGAGAAAATTAAGCTTAAGATAAATGGGAACTTTTGCACTGTTCTGTAGCGATATCTGTCACTGTGTGAGGCTCTGAACTGGAGACATAGCTGCTTGTTAAGGGCCAGCATAATGGTAGGAATTATTTAAGGTGTTTCTAGGAAAGAAGGTTGCTGGCTGTACTCAGTCTCTAAAATGAAATTCTGCTTCTGCGTGTAATCTTGTTTTTTTGTCCTTGTAGAAGGCTGTATTCGCACTGGGGCGGGGGGGCAAATTTAACTCATACGTTTTTTCTCACAGAAAAGTTTTAGTAATCCTTTTGCAAAGAAGTGTGGCATTTCTATGATGACGTGATTGTAACAAAACAGGAAATGTGATCTTTATTTTTATTTTGTATATACCTACAGTAAGACACTTAAAATGCAAACCATTCTGTGAGCCTGTTTATAAGGCTTGAAGTTGCTTTTGTTTTGCTTAACCAAATGGCCGAAACACTGCCAAGAGTATGTCTGGAATGTTATTTACTTGGTCCATTTCTGAGGTTTTTCTTTGTAGCGCTGTACACATGCCACAGTTAGGGGTCATTTACTTAAAACTGACCAAAGTAATACCCCCAAAGCTGCAGTTATTCTTCTCAACAGGAGCCTTATAATAAAAGGGAGCAGCTCATCATGTTTCGCAGCTTCTGTGCTTACGTTTCCCCCCAGCCCCTTCCTCCCTCCCTTTTTGTAAGCAGAATTGCTTTTGGCAAAGATATGGAGAGCTGCTCTTTGTTCTTGCTTTGTTCTCCGTGACTCGATTCCTCTATTAGCGCTTTAATTCCTTACATTATCTCTTATGCTGCCAACCACTTGAAATGTGTTAACTTGCTTTGCAGGATTAATGTTTTATAAGGAGATGGCTATGAAGTATGTTTTCCCTATCTAAGCTGGTATATTTTTACGGTCTCGGTTCCAGACATTCAACTAGTTGCAAGAAAGCTGTGGGTGTTTTAACATTTCCAGCGGAAGGGTAGGGCGGGTGGGGAAGCTCTCTGGAACGCTGACGACTAATATTTGACTCTTGGAAATGTCTTAAGGCCGTGTGCTCCCCTCCCATGCAAAAAAGGCTAGTCTCAGTGCTAAAGACCTGTGGTCTTGAAGGTATTACCGTTGTTCTTTCTTTCCCTTCTAGCTGGCTAGAGTTGAGAAAACAGCTGAAATGCAGATTATGGAGGCTTAGGGTTAGTGCAGGAACGCTCCGCAGATGATTTGTGTGCTTGAGGGTCCCGTCTGTGGCACTCTTTAACCCGAGGTCCTGGAGGGCCTAATTCTGCTCTTCTTACTTAGAGGTACTTCATTTCAGAAATTATGTAACTGCTGAGGAGTTAATGTCTGATCAGTATAAAGACAGCAGAAATTGCCTTACAGCATGAGTATGGAACTGCAGTAACTTGCAATTCAGTGCAAGCATTTTCTGTAGCAGAGCAAATGTTCATAGCAGGTTTTTCCCCCCTCATTTTCTTCTCTTATTGCCCTTAAGTTGCAGGGATTTTAATGCAATTTTTGAGGGGCAGGAGGATAGCAAGGAGAAAGTGGAGGAAATATGGATTGGGTTGTTCTTACTTGTGAAACGTAGACCTTTACTGGGTTGGGTATCTAGCTTTCATTTTGTTTGTGTGCTTTTGGTAAAGGATATTCTCCTTCCTCTGTATCTGCCAAAATGATTACCTCTTATCCTCTGATGGTATCTTTTTAGCTTGTTTTAAGTTGTGACAAGCGCATGTGCTTTACTATACATGGCCTTTATTGCTTTTGGAGAGTGATTTGTTTTCTTTATAAAATGTTTCTGCTGTATTTATTTCCAGCTTTGACCATTTAACTGATAAATACCTGCTGCCTATATTCACACCTGGCTCATCTTTTATTATCCTGTCTTAACTATAAATGTTTCTATTGAAATAAATCAACCTTGTAATTTGAAAAATATAAAACTTTTGGTTTAAGTTACTTCTTACAGGTAATAGCTGTTTGACGGTTGAATAAGAAACAACTGCTTGGCAGAGTTTTAGTTTGAATCTCTGCCAACCAACAGTAAAGTGCAACCTAATTCCTAAAAAACGCCTGTAAACTATCTGTCGTGACCTAGCATGCATACAGTAATAACAGGCTGACAAGGCTAATAAAGTCTATGTGTTATTATAGCCATGCTTTGCAGGCTATAACAGGTCTATAATGTATTTTGTCCTTCATTCGTATTGTGCAGCCCCCATATCATCTTCCTGTCGCAGAGTGTATTACCTGGAGGGCGACACCTCTGTGGTGCACGCCTGTGCCATGAAATTGCTCATGCTTGGTTTGGACTGGCCATTGGTGCTCGTGACTGGACTGAAGAGTGGATAAGCGAAGGGTTTGCCACTTATTTAGAAGATATATTTTGGGCCAGGGCTCAACAGGTAAGGTGCCAATACGTCACTTCTCAATTAAGTTACATGGGTATCAGAATTATATACCCTTCTGTCAATTTTAAATTAGACCTCTTGTGTTATGAAGCTAATGTCTTTCAAAATGGCACTGGAATTGGTATGCTAGCTTGGTTTAAAAAAGATACTTCTTCCTCCCCTGTGCACAACAAATGCTGACCTTTACCAAGGTAAAGGTAAGTGCAAATAAGAATGCAAACATATGTTTGTCAGTGACTACCTTCCCAAAAATGTATTACTCAGGTGTTACCATTCAGCTACCAGACAGTTGTTTGGTATTCTTTCCACTTATACCAGACTTCTGAATGTGAAATAATCATCAGCAGTGTCTTTCTGAATATTGTAATATTCCAGGCACACTGATGAAAATAGTATCTGTTAGTCCTGTGGACAGCCAAGAAGCATATCTCGAAACAAAATGGTAGCTATGAATGGAGCATCAACACTTGCACTTGTTTTTTATACTGCCCAGCAAAAGTTATTCCCTTCCCAGTGGCTTAGAAATCATAGTCCGTCTTAAAGTGTAAAGCTCATAAATCGCATGTCAGCTAGTGAAGTGGTTCTCTGATACGACTCTTATTTTCTGTTGCACCTTTGCTACTTCAAGCATTTTGTGTGTTTGTTTCCTCCTGTAGTACTTGTGTCAGGCCCTGATGCTCCTCTCCCCACGTCTTACAGAAGAGCACCATGTAAGTCAGTAGGGCTCCCTCTGTGGAAGAGCAGGTGTGACTGGGAATCGATATCATAAGCTCTTCTGAGTTGCCATTTTACAGGGTATCGGGCACGTTTATAGCATTGAATAAAATAGATTTTTTTTTTGTCGCTTACTGCATTTCTGGAGCAAGGAAAAGAGAAAGACTGTCCAAACCCTTTGCTTTTTCCTTCTGATCCTCAAACTCCTTTTTGCCCTTACCTGGAGCATTACTCCTCTGTTGTGAGCTGTTCACATTCATCCTACAGTTCTGTGAGTTGCTTGAAAGCATTTTCACTGTAGCAGATACCCTTCCATGTAGCTGAATGGAAAGGAGTAAGCCACAAAACAGGCTGAGTATTACCCTTGTTAATTTTTAGGATCAGAAAATATATTGCTTTGTTTTTTTCTTTTTGGAATTATTGAGTAATTTTGGTGCTGCATACTTGTGGGATTAGGAGTATATTCCGTACTGAAATTTCAGTTGTGACTGACATACTGATTTAATGCAGGAGACTATTAGCTGTTTTTCCCTTGTCCAATCTCCCTTCTCTCCTCCCTCATAATAAAAAAGTGCAAGTTAGTTGTTGATTTGTAAGCTGGCAACTTGGAATTTATCTCATAAGCATACATCTCTGTTGATATTGCTTTTGTGGGGGAAAGTATGACAGGGAGCTTTTACCAGTGTGGCAAAAATAGTAGGAAAGAGGGGTAAAATCAGGACACAAAGCAGCTCTTTGCTTTCAAGGCTGGGAAGAGTAAAGATGCAGCCTGAATGAATATGCCAGGTATCTGTACTGCATGTCCAGTTCACTCATTGCCAGTCACCGAGGGGAAAACAACATGCCTATCTCTCTCCTCAGGCAGAAATATTTAACCAACTATTGATTTGATGTGCCCAGAGAGGTTCCTGTTTTCCTCAGTGCTGCTATTAACTCTTAGAGCAGCAGCCATACTTTTGTAGTTGTTGTTGTTGTTT